GAAGAAAGACTAAGAAGAAATTTCTCAGTTCAGCAGATGAGATACCATGCAATAACTGCCAAATGAAGGGAGCACTTTTTCAAAAGACCAAAATGTTTGTATTGACCTGAGAAGGATGGATCTTTTCCTAGAATTTAACACCAATTAGGAATGTCAGGACTTGGAGCAAAGTTAATAAAATGTGCATCCCTTTGCAACCGTCTACTTTATTATTTTCTATAGAACCTAACTTTGGGATAGCTACTTCAGGAGCTACCATTTAAACAAAAATTATCTGCCAAGCAAATGTACTGCACTAAGGCAGAAAAAGAGAGTATACAGCCAAGAACTCTGCAAATTTTACGTTCATTCCAAACCTGATACATCAGCCATCTCTTTACTTGTCCCATTGGACCTAGAACGTGTGTTCTATGATTTGATGAACTTGAAAGTCCCTTATAATATATCTAAAACCACACATTTTATTTCTGTCACAAAAGATCAGAAGTTTCTCCCTTACTTAAGATCGTAAATTCAGACTTTTGATCTTGGGCAGGCCTTGGCACTTTTTATCCACCCCCAACCCACGTGCTTCATCTGTGATAGACATCACACCTAATATGTCTCGAATAAGAAGACATATTAATAAGAACCCAGAACACATGAGCTTCTTAGGATTCTTTAGACTCTAGTTCCACAAAAATATCTATAGAAGTGCACACAGTGAGACACGCATGATCTTAAGGTTAGGTCAGAAAAAAAAGTCAGCTTCCAGAGTCAGCCATAGGTAGAAACTTTTATGATTCATCTCCTTCTCATCTTTCAGGCATGCAATTTTGTTTTGGACCCACATATTGCCCACCAAAGTGTTATTGCCAAACCCTAAATCTCTTAATTCTCACTAATGCTTATAAAAATTCCTTTTCCTCACAGTCCTGCTATCTTTAAAAAATTACTCATAGGTGTTCAATGATATTAATCATTCTTAGCCTCTCAAATAATACAGGAACTCTGTTATATAAAAGAAATTACAGTATACAAGAAAAAAGATGTATGATATATAAATGCAAAAAGTTTCATAGGTGTCATGGTGGATTTAGAAGTTACAATAAAACACAAATGAGGGGATTCATTCCACTAAGACTCAAAACGAAAGAGGAAGTTTGGCAAAGCTGTATATACAGTTGCATGGAGAACAAAATTTAGTTGAAAATGATTCTGTTAATAGTGGGAATTTCAAGGTCTACGGTAGATCGCTATGATGAGGTCTCCTAATCACACCTTTTAAGCAATCTCCAATTCTGCACCAAGTGAGATAGGCCATAGATATAAGAACAATGATGATTATTACGAAAGTATAGTTCAACAATATTAGAAACTTGATTGAATAGGTGGAAATTGCAAGAAAAAAAAGAAATGGAAAACAGACTGGTGTTCAAGTCATGAAGAACCTTTGCACAAGCAACATAGGAAAGGCAACTCGTTGTTACATTAATGAAATTCAGAACAATCTTGAGATCTGATTGTTTTTGAAATGCAGTCCATAATGTTTGGAACCTAGGCCAGGTGTTAATGATACATAAAATACAATTGAATGCAGCAAGGTCAAGAAGAAAAAGATCAAAGATGAAGTGGCTTTCCAGATAGGTAATGGATAAAAGAAAAAAAGGTCAAGTTAAAAATTTTAAAAAGAATTAAGGGCCGGCCCCATGGCCGAGTGGTTAAGTTTGGGGGCTCCACTTCGGTGGCCCAGGGTTTCACTGGTTCACATCCTGGGAGCAGACATGGCACCGCTCATCAGGCCATGCTGAGGCGGCATCCTACATGCACAACTAGAAGGACCTGCAACTAAAATACGCAACCACGTACCGGGGGGATTGGGGAGAAAAAGCAGAGGGAAAAAAAAAGAAGAAGATTGGCAACAGTTGTTATCTCAGGTGCCAATCTTTAGAAAAAAAAAAAATTTTTAAAAATTAAAGTTAAGCCAGGAAAAATGTCATTGTCTGAATGGAAAGGATAACTGATAATAGATAAGGATAAAATCTCAGAGATTTCTAAGGTTTTATATTTTATCTGATTAAAAAAGTCAATTTTGATATGTTGAGAAGGGCAACTTATCATAAGAGTTAGACAAGAATGGATTACAAAAGAAGCATTCAGGAACGCCAGCTAAATCAAAATGAGGTAGAAATCACGTGGTTTATTATTTTACTAGGATACTTAACAGCTATTGACTGGTTTAAGAGTCGTTGTGGCAATCATAAATTTCTGGATAGTGAAGGAGAATTACTGGATTACCTGTCTATTAATCAAAAGGGAAAAGGAAGCCCTGGTAATTAAGTAGCTGTCACCTGAACTGCAATATTCAGAAAGATGAATGCAAATCATCAAACAATCAATTTGTAACCAGAGAGAACTGAGAACAGAGTAGGGACTGCCTTGACTTTCAGAGAAAAATTTTGTTTCATGATGAGGAGACAGGAGGGGTAGATAAGAGGGACTTTAAGAGACTGAGACTACATGGATTTCTGTAATACATTTTCACCTCAAATCAGAAACTGTTTGAACTATTGACCTCAGTGTTGCCGTAGAGTATATGGTATGCGTGCAGTCTTTAAAATCATTTGAATTAAAATAGATTTTGTTTTGTGATTTAAACTCTCCTTATATACTACATATATTTGAGATTTTCATCTACAATCACAAAGGAATTCCACTTCTTTTGATGAGCACAAAGGTGGTTTCACCCAGTTTTATGGGACTGTCATAAAATTGAAGAGGTCTGTATGGTTCTCCTATTCTTCAAGGCAGCATGTCTGTGCATATAAATAATCTTATCAATCATCTCCTAAAAAAATGCCTTCAGGAGAAGAATTCTGGCCAGAATAATCACTTCCCTCTTATAATGAATGATAGATTCAAACTTTGGCACCAATTTATCCTATTGAGATGTTTGGCAAAATTTCTCTAGAATGAACTTAATGAGTATTATAACACACGATAAAAAAAGAAAAAACTCTATCATCTCCAAATGTGGTACACATTCACTTGATATTCATTTCCTCAAAATTTGATGGGATTAACCTCAACTAACTGAAGGCCTCTCAAATGAATATCTTATATGAGGATCCTAGGGATTTCACACACAGATTACTGCTTACATTTCATGTTTTTATCAAGGAGAAAGTAGCTATTAATTCAAGATTGTAACATTCATCAAGACTTTATATCGAAGCCTCCTTAGATAAATTCAGCAGTTCAGTATTGAACAATACGGCTTTTGCACAAGCAACATAGGAAAAGCCATTAGTTGTTACATTAATGAAATTCAGAACAATCCTGAAACCTGATTGTTTTTCAAAAGTAATCCATAACATTAGGAAGCTAAGCCAGGTGTTAAAAAAAAAAAAAAAGATAAATAAAATATAATTGAATACAACAAGGTCAGGAATAAAAAGAAAGATGGGAGATGAAGTGGCTTTCCAGATAGATAATGGGAAAAAGGAAAATAAAAATTAAAGTTAAAAATTATAGCCAGGAAAAATGTCAAAACTACATCACAAAATTACTATGAAAATTTGAATTGATAGAAATTAAATGCAAAAATAGCACATTTATTTCAAAAAAGAATTGTAAAAAAGAAGAAAACAATAATGGCTAATAATTCTAATATTGCTATAACATTTGCTTTTGCTAAATGTAAAAAAATGAATACAATTCAAATTAAAAAAAAACAAAAGCCCCTCAAAGTACTTTTTAAGCATATTAGCAGTTTTCATGTAACTGTCCAGAAATAGTCTGTGCAGAACCAATACCATTATTTTTTATTTATTCAAATCAGCTGGTAAAATATGTACTCTCCCATTTTTAACTATTTTTACTGAATAATTATTTGAAATTATTGCACATTAGCAGATATAAATATATATGAGTTTTAACTGCCCCATAATATTCCATTGTGAATATATCATAATCAATCAACTAGATATGATGGATATTTAGATTTTAGCATTGACTTTGCATTGAAAAAAAAATAGTCTTCCAACTTTATATCAAGACTTGGTTGAGCCATGAATGAAATTAGAACATAAGTTACATTTTTAAAAAGTCAATGTACACCTGAGAGTTTTCTCAACATCAAATAGAAAAGAGATCCCACCCAGTCAACTTACTCTGGAGCATTAAGAGTAAAGCTTTGGGAGAATTAAATGACATAATGCTTGTGAAACCTTAGCTCACTGCTAGAAAATATCAAGGCTGAAAAATGTTCATTTTGGAAGCGGTCTAGAGATGGTGGTAAGGAGCCAAAGTGTGTGAGGTTTTTCTGCTGTCCTGGAGAGCCCAGGGCAGTGGTATTAGTTTGGGGATCAAAAGATAGGGATGAAACAGAAGAAATATCCTCAAGGAAGGGAAAATATCAGGTAAGGTGAGGAGGTAGAAGGATAGTTGGAGAAAAGATTAGGGCAAAGTGGAAGTCATTCAACAGGAGCACAGAGTTGCTCAGTGCACTTGCAAGTGGCTGACAGGCAAGGGGCTGAGCGGTACAGGAGACGTGAGCTGGAAGCAAATTCGAATAATGAGAATCACTCACTTTCTCAGAAATGTGGACATTTTCCATAGAGGATTCTTGCTAAAGATGAGCTTTCTTTATTCATAAACCATGAATAAGGTCTTAAAAAATATATTATGTAGAAGAAAATATGTTCTTTGAGTTGAAAACACTATTCTCTAAAAAGTTTTCCCAAATCATTGATTTCTCCAACACTATTTCCTATTACACAAGCCCCAGACCAAATAGAGGAATGGGACAAATTGAAACTAAGGTTCTTGCAGGTCTAGAAGCAACTGATATAATATAATGGAATATAACATATTAAATACATTTATATTATATACTAACTCTTTTATTAATTGCCATGTGATTCTCATTAGTCCTTAAAGAAACATCAATAATATACAAAAAGTTCAATTCCAGTTTGAACAATATGAAAAGAGAAAGTATGTCAAAGTAGAATTTAATTATTAGACTTAAGTGGCAGAAATCTTATTGACATGAATACTAAAAAAACTCAAAGTACTATGCATATTATGACTGTTCTCAATAAGGGCTAAAAAGATATATTCAGAAAACACATTCCAACATTCAAGGAGCATAATGAAAAGAGAGCATTAGCCATGCCAGCCAAATATTTTATTTAAATTTAATTACCATTCCCGTCTTCAATAACTTTTTTAGATGAATTCTAAGAATCTCTGTGAGATATTTAGATTTTAACTACAAAATAATCATTTGATATATCAGGAATGTAACCATTAACTATAACGAATATGATCACCCAGAAATATGTAAACTGTTTTTATGATATAAATGTATATTAAAATTAATTATTGTATATGTTTATCATAGTAAATGTAATTGCTAAATGACATTTTAAATGGATTCATCACTCTGTAGTAACTAAACCACTTATCTACATGTGGAATAGAGGTGTTTGTAAGTCAGAAAGCTTAATTCTCTTTCTTTCCTGTTGCAGTTTGCTCAAAATAAAATACATTAAAACATTCAAATCCAAACACAACAGAAGCCTACATTCTATAATAATCACCAGCACTGGAAAATCAAAGGACTAACTGCAACCAATTATATTGACCACCATTATATATTACAGAGGGAGAATTTCAGACTCTCTCAAGCTCAGGAGATTACTTGAGAGTACGAGCAGTTATAGGAAGCAAAGGAGAAGACACAGTCAAAGAAATTCTAGGAAGTTAGGGGAAGAAAAGGTGAAAGTTAAATTTCACTCCTGATTTTGAAAATAATTGATAACATACAATAAACAATGCCTTAAACAGACATACACAAAAGTGCCCCCACTCTTACATAGATACATATACACACACTCTCACGGAGACAACTGTTAGGATGGACATGCTAACACTGCTGAGATACATAGCCACATATCAATGAATCTTTGCATAGGTATTCACATTTCACCAAATTTCCTCACTTTCTAATACTTGTAAAGTCAAAATAAGATATTTGATAAACAAGACAGATTTGATAGAAGGTAAGTCATACTTGATTGAAAAAATGGGATTGTTGGGTATGTCATAGATAGGTAAAAAAGAACAGAGAACTTTCAAAACACCACAGAATGCCATCATATTTTTTAAATGTCAAAAAGGATCAAATTTATTTTTAACAAACTAAAGAGAAGGAATTAATGTATACTCTAACCTGTGTGGTAAAGTTAAAACGGAAGTAATCCATTCATGATCTGGTAAAAGAACGCAAGGATAAAGAAGCCATTATGCTCTCACAGACCCCTACACATAAAATACCTTTTTACTATATCTTCTCCATTCCAGCAGGGCAGTCCATCAGCAGCGGCCAATTCATTCACACAAAGCTGATCAGCCAGGCCCCCATAGAATGTCCTGTACAGTCGAAGGCTGTTGATAAATTCCCTGAATGGAAAAACAAAGAAAACAATTAAAATAAAAAGTCCATAACGTATGCTAACATAAATAGCATAATTTGTTATGCATAATCTTTAGACGGCAACTTCTTAATACTTTTCTAACCATCAACATAAAAACTACGTTTTTGGAAAAAAGCTAGTATTCAAGTTCATTCTTTCGAATAAAAATTTTTGCTGAGTATGAATCCTATATAACTCCAGGTTTAAAAAGTTGTGAACAGTATACATACACACACACAACTTCATTTAGCTTCCTTAAAAGCCCTCACTAGTTGCTGGCATCTAAACCACAGTGATACTAACCGCTTTCTTTTTCATACAAAAATGTCAGAGTCTTATAACAAGCTAATTGATTGCTTGCTGATTAAAAGTTTAGTAGACTTGGTTGATTTTCCTATCTGGCTCTTCTCTTTGGTGCCTAAGAACATAAAGTAACATGTCTTCGCTAAATATGAAAAACCCAGATATGCAACACATTTCAGAAGCATGAAAATAAAAGTTATTGGAAGAAATAATATTTAATACATTACCTAAAGTTTTTTCTTTTACCACTTCCCCTTCAATTATGGAAAGGAAAAATTCAACAGAAAAGTTTGTTTTTAATTTAGAAAACCAAGACTTTTGAGTTTTAAAGCTAAGTCTTTGAGGTCCCAAGAACTTGAGATTTAGCATTTCAAAAGACCAAGTCCTAAAGACTTTAGTGCTGCATTTTTTTACATAGATAACTGTTTTGGAAAAGAAATGAAAAGCCACTAGCCTGATACAGAAGAGATGTTCTCTGGACTAGGAGGCAGGGACAGGAGAAGGAAATACTGGAAGGAAAGCAAACTTCAGAAATTCATGGGATTAATAGTTAAAATGCACCAGTTATAAAATTGCATCTCCCATTGATACTTTAAAAATAATTTATTAAAAAATGAGATTAATGAGGAGGGGTGGCTCTGAACTATAGCTGGAATAACAAAATTTAAAAAATTAAGTCTGATTTTGATAGCACTTGATGCAGGCTCAGTGAGCCGAGGAGTCAAAAGAAAGATTTCTTGGACTCTCAAGGTCTGGCAGTAGTGCTCTTTTATTTAGAGAATAGTATGGAGTAGCATGGGGACAGGACCCATGGGCAGTAAAGAGCTGCTGCAAACATGGGTTGAGGGTAGGATTAAATTTAAGGCATAGGTATGTGAGTTATCTCTTTATAAGACAAAGGGAAGAATATGTAAAAAAGTTGTTAAAATGGTATCAGTGCCGTCTGGTTATTGGGTGGTCCTATAACTTTAGATAAGAATCAGATCGGATTAAGTCAGGATGTCCTATGCTTCCCCATCAAGAGTTTCTAGAGATAAGGTCATCACCCCTTCCTCCTGTTGCAGAGAGGGAGACACCCCCACAGATGGAGACTTCCTTCACAAATGCAAACGTCTCTCATCAAAGGGAGAGCAAATTCCATTCCTCAGAGCCTCCTTCCCATCTGCAGTTTTTAAAAGTAACCAGCCCAAAATAATCCTCATCAGCACTGATACTCAATTGTAGTAATTTGTGTGTGTGTGAAGAAGATTGGCCCTGAGCTAACATCTGCTGCCAATCCTCCCCCCAAACCCTCGCCTGAGGAAGACTGTTGCTGATCCAACATCTGTGCCAATCTTCCTCTACTCTGCATGTGGGACACTGTCACGGCATGGCTTGATGAGTGTTGTGTAGGTCTGAGCCCAGGATCCAAACCCATGAACCCCAGGCTGCTGAAGCAGAGTGTGCAAACTCAACCACTGTGTCACCTGGTCAGCCCCTCAACTGTATTAATTTTATAATTCTCTCTCTTATGTGTTTTCAAAGAACTGTTTGTAGAAATTGCTGGAGTTGTAAATAACCACTAATCTGTCAGAAGGATAAATGTAATTTTCAAATATGTAACATCTGAAACCATAGAGGAGATCAAAAGTTCCCACGGCAAGTGTTGGTGAGTATTTAATCAAATTTTTAGCAAAGCTTCACCAGACCAGTGATAACGAAATCACTGCAGGAAGCCTAAATCTGATTCACCTCTAACTTAGGCTCAATAAAAAATAAAGCATGCTTTACTTTCTTGCTAGCACAGTGACTACTTATTTATACTTTAAGTCAGTTTGCTCTACTAGGAAATAAGTCCCTCCCTGATGGCTATATCCCTACTAACTGGAATGCATGAACAAATACCAATTCTCATGTTACAGCTACTAAAACATAACTGATGAAGCTGACTGGTTCTTGCCTAGAGAGGTGGGGCTTAATAAACAGAAAGCTGAGTGACTCCTGTCCTGAATTCTACTCCCTGTAAATGACCACTTGTTTGGAATCAAAGAATCTTCTAGAATGAAGGGACCTGGCACAAATGGCTAGAATGTTGAGACCTCCAAATTGATGCTGTAAAACTGGATAGATTTTTTTGATGGGCCCCCGCCTCCTACTCTAACCTTGGAGAATGATGCCCTCATTTCATTTCTCCCTTCACAACTCATAGATCATAACACGGAAAACTTTACATCTTTCTTTTCCAATCCCCTTTCCCAGTGCTCCTGCCATTGCCTTTGCTCAACCTTATCACCTCTCTCTGGAAATATTGCTCTAGGATGACACACCTCTGCTTTCTTTTCTTAACAATCACCTTCCATCCTCCATGAGAGCCACCTTTTAAAATTCAAATCTGATAATATCCACAGGTTATGTCACTCACTTATTTAAAGCCATCAATGGCTCTCTATTCTCTACAGCATGAGATCTGAACTTCTTGGAAAGGCATATAAGGCACTCTCTCAGCCCAATTTCAGCAGCAACCCAAACCACACTTTGGGCTCCACAAAAGTGAGATATTTGCTATTTCCCAATATACTTCCATGCTTTTGCATGCATCCTCTCTGAAAGGATTGTATCCTATAAGATTTCCACTCATTCTATGAACCAGCAGCTATCGCTTCTTCATCACAAAGAACTAAACACCACTGAGTACCAAGCTCTGTGTTGGCACCAGGGATTCACAGCTAAACAAGACAATCCCCACCTTCTAAGAATACACATTCTGGTGAAAATCCACAATACTAATACAATGTTAACAGTACCATTTTGAGGACAGAGAAGGAATCAGGAAATATTTACAAAACAAGGTAACAATTCAGTGTTCCATGCAAAAAAAACCAAACAAGCAAGCAAGCAATAATAACAACAAAAAACCAGAATAAGCAAAGATAAAGAGGAAAGAGAATATTGTGTGTTCAAAGATTCATATGCAGTTTAGTTTTGGCTTGTGGGGAGCATGCTTATGGGAATGATGGTTAAAAGGTAGGAAGAGGCCTGATTATAATCACCCTTACTGATCATGATAAGATGTTTCAGTTTTCTTCAGAAGGCAGTGGGAGCCATTAGACGTTTTCCAGCAAGTGATGTCATCATCACATAGGTATTGTGGAAATAGACAGAAGGCAGTGAAGTCACTTAGGAGGCTACACCCAAGATTCAGGGAGAGAAAATATAAGGATGTGAAAAGAAAAAACCTGCCGGTGAGCATCACAAAAAGTGATAGATTTGAAAGACACTGGGAAGGTGGAATTGACAGGTAAAGCAAAAGTTTTAGGATAGCTTCTAATTGTCTTTTTTTTTCCTCTGAGGTGACTGAGGGGATGATTGCATTATTCACTGAGTTAAGAAATAAAGGAAGGGAAATACCATCTTCTCACCGTCCCACACTATACTTAGGATTGCCCTTACCCTGCTCAATATTGTCATCTTTCCAAGGCACATATCACTTTCTATTCTAGCATACAGTGTGCTTATTTATTATGCTTAATTGTTTCTGATCTATCTCTCACTCTAGAATAAAAGATTCAGGCAGGCAGGGATTATTTTGGTTTATTTTGTTCACCACTATAGATCTTAAAGCAGTGGTGAAGGCATATAGCAGATTCAATAAATAGTTATCAGATTAATTAAATGAATAAAACTAATTAATTAATAATTAATTCCATTCTCAACATGTTCAGTTTGAGATTTCTCTGAAACATGCAGAAAGGGAAATCAAGTAGAACACTACTTTCAAACTTAATATGTGTAACATCATCTGGGGATCTTGCCAAGATGCAGATTTGGATTCACTGGTTCTGGGGTAGGGCCCAAGATTCTACATTTCAAAGAAGCACTCAGATGATGCTGAAGCTACTGGTACAAGAGCCATAAATACCTTGGGAGTTTGCTTTGGATATGTAACCTTGGAATCAGTGGACTGGACACGTGATGTCAGATTCATCATCTACAGAAGTGGTGACTGGAGTCATGAATATGGATGAAATCTCTCAGGCAAATAATATGACCTAAGAAAATCCAAAGGGACTCAGAAGCAGAAAGAGCAAAGAAAGAAAAACTTCAAAGTTAAGTGCTACAAATACTAAAGAATCAGGGAATTTGAAGTTAGAGAGATTCTCTGCAGTATAAAACGCCATTATGAGAGGTTAACGAAAATACTGAAAATGTCCTTTATATGTAGTGACCATAATTATTATGGACTGAATTGTGTCACCTAAAATTCATATGTTGAAACCTATCCCTCGATATAACGTATTTGGAGATGGGTCCTCTAAAGAGGTAATTAGGCTCAAATGAGGTCATATTGGTAGGTTCCAATCCAATTTAACTGGTGTCCTAATAAGAAAAGGAAAAGATGCTACGGCTGCATATACACAGAGAAGAGACCGTGTCAGGTCCAGGGAGAAGGTGGCCATCTGCAACTCAAGGAGAGAAATGAAACCTGCCAACACCTTGATCTGGAACGTCTAGCCACCAAAACTGCAAGAAAACTGATTTCTGTTATTTAAGCCACCCGTCTGTGGTATTTTGCTGTGGCAGCCCCAGCCACCTAATACAACAAGTAAAGCATTTGAAACAGAGTAACAGACTTCAGATTTGCAGTATCTTGAGTATTAAAAAGAGGGTGAGAAACCAGAAGTGGAGAATCCCCAAAAGGAAAAT